AACAACCTCATTTTGATCCCGGATTAATTTTATTAATTCCAAGAAATTTCCCCTATGAAGAGACGTTTCTGACTCATCGTGACCACGAAAAGGTAATGCACCATTCAACAAAAATCTAGCAGCATCAACAGAAGCATTCAACCGGATACGATATTCATTCTTCTGAATATCACTTTGTTTATGTAAGGCGGCGACAATTGATTGACCATGTCTCATTAGGTCCTCACACTTCTTAACAGCTCTATTGTGGAAACTATTAATGTGACCCACATGAGTAGTCAATCTCTCGGTTTTATTCCAACTACTAAAGCCTTCGGTTAAAAAGGCATCACTCCCACCTTGTCCACCACATTGATCTCTAAATAAGTAACAACATAAGCAAAAAGCTTTATCTAATTTTAAACTATACTCCAACCAATTACCGTATTGATCAAACCAAGTCGGGTTAAAACGTCTTGCCTTGTTCCCAATTATTCTTTTTGGAAAGTCGTGACCACGTGGTTGACACGGTCCTTTAATCAAATAGTGTCGTCTGATTTCATCTCTTTGATTAGGGTGGTATTGTAAAATTCTTTTCCTTTCAGCTGGATCCGATGGAAGATTATTCAAATCAACTTCCTTAGGCATCGAGGGAAGATCATTGCGTAAGTTGTTTAAAGGTTCTCCACTATTATCGGACGTTGATGCCTTTCTTTTCAGAAATCTTTCCATCTTCTAGCAAAAACAAGGGAACAAATACATCACATATATATATATATATATATATATATATATATATATAATATACTATATACCTATTGTTTGTCCACTATACCTATTAAATATTAGCAAATAAGCATTGCATCTATTAAATATTTGTATTTGTCCACTCTGGTATTGATATTAATTTTTAATAATTTGCTAAAAGCTTAAAAATCCCCAATGTTTATCTACTGTTTACATTTTAACTTTACCAAAAACTTAAACAGTAAGTCAGTAAGATAAAAGCAGACAAGCAGTAAGATGATTCATAATTTATAAAGGCTAAAGCAATAATCAGATGTAGAATTTAGAAAGCAGAAGCAAAATGAAGAAGAAAGAAAGAGGGGAAATTTGAAAAAAAAAAAAAGTTTTGAAATTTGAAAACAAAAGTCAACAATTGGTAGGTGAAGCCGTGAAGAATAAAGAAAGAAAAAAGAGGAAAGTCTTGATGTACTTGAAGTGGGGTCCACTTTCATGTACTTGAAGTCTTGAAGACTTGAACCTACTTCTTTCCTCCATTTTAATTTTAAACACTTCATTCTTCATGTACTGCTGTGCCGGAACAGAAAAGCTAGAACAGGAACAGGCAAACAGCAGAAGCATAAATACTTAAATAGAATAAACCTTAAAAAGCTCTTGCTGTCGGTGCCGGAGAAGAATGCCACTGCCGGTCGCCGGAGAAGAGTGCCACTGCCTGTGCCGGAGAAGAAGACTGCCGGAGAAGAAGAGGGGAATCGGCGGCAGGGAAAGGGGGCCCTTGAGAAACCTAGTGGGGGGAAAGTAAAAGTAATAAATTTTTTTTAACTTTTTAACATAGATAAAAAAAAATACTTTTTCACTGGGGTTCTTACCCCCCCCCCCCCCCCCTCCCCCTTTTGTCCACTGGATCCGCCCCTGGCACCAAGGAACAAAACCTGGTGGGAAAGAATAAAACATTGGGCAAGGAAAGAGCACAACCCACCGATGATACATGTTTAGTAGACAAATCCTTTTGTCTATTACTACACCTGATTCATACATCAATCAAGAGAGCTTAGAACGTCCTTCGCACTTCAACGCTTTCCACATGTTTCTCAAATTTAGCCTTGGGCAATGATTTGGAAACAAATCTGCCACGTTTTCTTCATACCTTACTTGATTCATTAGATTTTGAGGAGAGTTTCTTGTTTTCGATCATAGAAAACTTTGGTGCAATATGATTTGTAATATGACCTTTGATTTATCCTAGTTTCATTTGTTCGATACTAGTTGCATTATATTCATATCTGCATGTAGGGTTTTTAGTGGTAGAACTTAAACCACTCACTCCTTTAGCATGTGTAATGTTAGTCTTTAAGTATATTCACTCTAACCACAAGGGTGGTGCCTGATTGGATTGAGCTTGACTCCAAATGTCAAAAGTACCAGGAGGTCCCAGGTTCAAA